AAACCTGGTGCTTCAAGGCATGCAATCTTGCTTGTATACACATTAAAGAGCACTGGTGAAATTGCAGAACCCTGGCGTAGTCCCGGGGCTACATTACATGGTTCTGAGGTCCATGTGCCCAGGCGACGGGCAACCATACGTGAATGCAAGACAACTGCTATCCAGTTCACAAGCCAGGGACACACACACACACACACACACACACACACACACACACACACACACACACACACACACACAAACTTCTCCGTGACTGCAGATGTCAAAGTGCTAGAGTTCTTCAGAGTGGCTCGCTAAACATATCTTATTCTATTGTAGGCATCCTCAAGATCACGTGCTGCCACAACTATCTCCAGTCTGTTCTGGAACCCTTCATAAACATCAAAAGCAAAAGTAGCTGCATTAAACTGTATCTTTCCGTGGGCGGTAACTACCCAAACCTTTAGGCAGCAGCTCTTCCCTTTCCAAAAATATTTGTAGTTTAACAGCAATAAACTTCTCTAGGCCTTTGCCAAAAGCATTGTGTAGGGTGATAATCCCGAAACCACTGAGTCTGGAGTGTCCTAGGCGATCATGGGAGTGACCATATGCCATGCTCAGTCTTGATTCCTAAAGCAAGCAAGGTCAGGACTGTGAGGACGCGCAAGACATTTAAGTATGAGAGGGCCAGTACCCTTCTAGAACGCCTTCAATAGAAGGTATGCAGCAGAACAACCACCTCTGCTTTTGAGCAGCTTCCGTGGTGGACCCAAATGCCAATGACAACAGGCAAAGAGAAAGGGGAAGCATTTTTGAAGAGATGTATATCCCAAACCGAACTTAATGATAGGGAGCTTAGAAATTCAGTTAGAGGTAATCTGTCTAATAGTATAAATAATAATTATTTTCAGGATATCATTAGGGTGGAGGATATAAAATAGGTATTGCAAAAACAAAAGACTGCGCCGGGGTCAGACGGAGTGAAGTATGCCCATATATAGAGCATGAATGATGGAGACTTGAGGGGGATGGCATTTCACTTTAACCAGAGCACCAGGACAGCGTCAATGCCCCAGGACCCCAGGATTGGGAACACAGCTACCACGCCTCTTCCCAGCCCAATCCCTTTACCCCCCCCCCCCCCCAGGCAAAGATGAAAGTACACGAGGCAGAAGGTTGTGGATAGACATTACTATCAATGCCACACGGCATGGACTCTAAAAAAAAAAAAAAAGATGCCTTCATAGAGGGGGTGAGTTCTAAAAAGTGGGGACTGATCGTTGTGTTCACAATGACCTGTAGGGGACTACCGCCCCTACTCCCGACAGGCAACCTCTGGTAAATTTAAAACAGCAGTCACAAATATGAAGTTAACTCCCTTCTTTTATCTATTCAACATAACATTGTTACGGTGACTGTGAATTTAATTGTTTAAATAGTAATTAAAACATATAGTTACATTATTATCTCTATTAAAACTATTTGTGTGTCAATAATGCAAACGTAAAGTGTGTAAGTAAAATGACAGCAGAAGGTTTTGAACATGTCTGAGACTTGTCTGGAATCTGGATCGTTTGGCGTTGTTGTTCGATTTTTGAGTGGATGATGTAGTTGTGATTTTCTCATGGCTGGAGTTTAGCTGGTCAGTGTGCGTGTGGTGAGGTAAGCCCTTTACGGAATTGTGTTTCTTATCTCTACTCCTGTTGAAATGTACTAAATTTCACTAAATCACAGCGTCCAGGGCAGCAAGAGATCTCTCTCTCTCTCTCTGAACAGACCTTTGGTACTTTTCAGTGAATGATGAATCTGATATTTTTATGGTCTATTTTCTGCGTGGTCGACCTCTCGCAGGCACTGTTACCGCTGAATACTGTTATGTATAACATTGCTCTCTATGGTGCTTCCATATTTGACTTGAATGTATTAGTATTATGTTACAAGGCCAAACCATCTGATCTGATTATTCTGTAACTAATCTAATGACTAATTACGACCAGCTCCAGATATATTTCAAATATTAATTATTATTCAATAATTATTTGAATAATGAATTTTGAGCTGGCCGTCTCTCTCTAAATGATTAACTTAATGATTAATCATTAAGTTTAGTCTGTGCCGACTGTCCTCGCCTCAATTAAATTATTATTCATCGTTGAACTAAGTCGATATATATTTCCTCGGTATTATAGGTTACTAAAAACCGTTTCTGCCGTGACTATTAGTATTTTGCTTCTCTTTCTGACTTCTGAAGACAGTGTCCATGTCTGGCAATTTTAGCAAATATATCGTTGGTAAGAATATTGTGTTAATGTTAGTTGAACAGGTCTTTTTTAGTGTTCATTCATATTCATGTGCTTGAATTTAAGAATTGAAACTCTCAGCAGCGCGTTTAACTCAGCGGTTTGTTGCATTTCGCAACATCATCGCCAAAATTGTATCCCACTTTTGCCGCGTGTGTTGTTGCGTTTCGCGACATCAACCCCGGAAATTTATCCTACTTTTGCTGCGGTGTATTCGCCGGAAAGAAGTCCGCAATTTACTTGTGATTGAGACCCTGTCAGGGTGTTGTTTTTTTTTTTTGGCGGCATAATATGTGGCCTTTATTCTGAGGATAGCCGAGTGGCCAAATGTAAAGTCTTTGCAGGAAACAAAGATGTTGCCAGAGTTCTTCAGAGTGGCTCGCTAAACATAAGATGTAAAAGCATAAATAATGTGTTGACTGGTACACGTGAATAATACCCAGTCATGCAAAATGTGTTAAGACAGAAAGAGTTAATGACCTGTGTACACCCATTAACTGTTGGTCTACCCTTGCCTGGTCCTAGTCCGAGCCTTCCAGAAACTGTGCAGTGCATTACATTCACTTATGTTGTATTTACTAATCAAACCACTGATATTTGATGTGACATGTTATAGTTGATCCCAAAACTACCGTATTCAGTTCAATATTTTTTTAACCACTTTCCGCTATCAAAGCCCAACATAGATGTCAAAAAAAAAACAACAACAAAAACTAAGAACAATCAAAAGATCAGAAATGAAATGTCTGTGAGGAAGACTAAATGTAGCAAGAGGAGACAGGACTATAAATAACTATATCAGGAAGCATGTTTGGATGCAGCTAGTGCTAAACTAAATCAAGAGAAAACAGATAAAATTGTTTGGTCATGTGTCAAGACTACCACAAAACTTATTGGCACCCATGGCTTTTTCCTAGAAAGGGGCATACATCAAGGCTCGCACTACATGTTACTTCCAAATGACACTAACAGGCAGAATAAGGTCTACAGGAAAAGAAAAAAAAAGATATGTGATATGGTTAAAGTATTTTAGTTTCTAAGACATAATACTGTTTTCAAGTCAATTTTCTATGATGTTCATATGTTAGATATTAGATACATTTTAACTGTTTCAGTACGTCGGGGGTGGGAACTGACTTGCTTGAGATGTCCCATTTTCAGCACACAATATTGGTGGGATGTTCCGTTTTAGCACAAGATATTATGGTCACCTTAAATAATAGTAACAGTAGCAGCAGCAGCAGTTTAAACAAAAATATCCTGTTCAATATATCTGGTTTATAAGTGGGATGTACATAATTGTTTTTTTCCTAGCTCATGTTTAAACATTTATGGTTCTGAATTTTTGGTTATTCAATATTGCATAAATTATGTATTAATTTGAAAGGATTGTTGCCACATAGATTGTTTTTTTTAAAGATACTTCAGCATGCTATTTAAATATTTATAATAATCATATTGTGTAATCTATCTTTGGAAATATTTAAAGTATCTGGGATATGATCATTATGTCTTAAAATACAGTAACATCTTTGTTGGTGTGATATATTGTTCAAACGTTCCCTGTAGTTATGTAGGTTCTGGGTTCATCTGGGAAAAAATTTGACATTACAGCATTCAGGGCAAGCCCATATTAGCCCTGCCCTCCTCAACGACCATCAAAGAATCTCAGTACTGATGGTACCCGTTGTCATCTGGTTAACTATTTATCTTGCTTTTCCTTCAAATTTTGAGTGGAACCCGCAGATACTCCCTGCAGTACTATTCTCTCTAGGTAGGAGTTTTCAATATCTTCCAATTTTTTTATCGCCCCAACCCACAGGTGAAAGATCCCCTCTGCCTTGTACAGTTGCAGTACACCATTAAGTGGGACCAATCCAGCCAACCTACCTACCTCTTTATTCACAAACACGCCTGTTTGGTCCAGACAAAACATCCATGTGACTCTTTCCACCTGCGACATCTGGATTGATGCGAACCTATTCTATAAGAAGAAACCCTGGTTCCACCTTTCTGTGCATAGTTTGTGAATTTGATACTATGATATGTGTGGCTGAGATTTTCTCCACTTATCTGAATCTCAGTTAGCGCCTCAGCCTCCATTCTCATGCTGGATGTGGTCAAGTTATATACCAAGCTCTAGTCAGTCATCCTTTTCCCCCATGCTTTTGCGACGAAGCCCCCATCCCCTCTTTTTGTCCATGGCCACTGACCCATCAGCGTATACAATTATATCTCCTGGCCTAGAGTTGTCTTCTATCAGCTGTTGCACCTCTGTATCTGCACGTTTAATCACCCAGTTCCTATATTCTCATCCCACAATAATTACCACTGTGTGCAGCTCTTCTCTTCCATCTGGTACCTTTACCCATTCTTCTCCTCGGACACTGTTTATTGTCTTCTCAGCCTGGCCCATCCAGGTTCTGTCCCTCTTTAGCCCCTGTAGATATCTACAGCTATCTATTCCCAGCTTTTTTTCTACTGTCAACAGCTTTTTGAAGCAGGTCATATATTCATAAAGGGGAATCCTTTGGAGTTCATGTCTTGTTGTGCAGTCTGTTGTTCCTTTTCTATGTTAAAATAACTGGGTTACTTTTTCCCAGTATAACCTTAAATTTAATATTTTCTATGTTCGAATAACTGGGTTACTTTTTCCCAGTATAACCTTAAATTCAAAAGGAAAGATTCTCTGCGTATCTACTTTCAGTGATACATTCTACCATGGAGCCAGAGCAACGTGAGATACTTCGGATATGGCGAGTAGAACTGGTTGAAAACATCAACGTGAAAGATGGACTCTACACCCAGCTGTTATCTAAAAATATTCTCACTAGTAGAACAATCAACAGAATCAAGGTTTGTAGTGTTCTGAGAGTTTACAACAATGTATAATGAAGCTCAAAAATGAATCCTTTTGACTAAAAACTTGCCGATCACTGAGTCCATTATAGGTCTTACTGTACATCTCAATGCAGAAGTCTTGGATTGCTTCTTATCATTTGTACTAGTTTTATTTTCTGCATGATTTGAGAATACTTCTTCTTCAGCATTCACCTTTACAAGTGCATTTGGCACATTTTGGCATTTGTGTTGTGGTTTACAACTAGGCTGCGATATCCGCACCTTCTGGCCCAGTAATCTGATTTCAACAAACCCCAGATTAGTCGCCTTGAACGACATGCTTCTTACAGGGGAAGTAGGTCTGTTCTGCTCCCCCTTTCCCCACCACAATTGGACCCAACCACCAACATGGGGATTTGGCAGTCTAAAACTGTTATAGACATGTATACTGGTGAATTCTTCTATTTGGTGTTGAATCAGATGCAGAGTTAAGGTTTGTGGTGTTTGTAGAATTTACACCAATAAAGCACAAAAATGAACCCTTTCAAGTAAAATACTGAAATCGCATGGTTTATTGCTTCACTGTTCCTATCATTATGGAAGTCTTGGATTATTTCTCCACATTATGTGGGTAGTTTCTGTATGACTCTTTGAAAGTAGGACCATGTGAGGTGGTACTCTTCTGTGAGATTCTGTCAGTAAAGCTGATTAGAGTCTACGCTGACTTCTAAGTCTTAGAATGAATGGTCTTAGCATATTTTGAGGGTAAAACAAGTATAGCCATGAAAAAAAAAATAGCCTTTGTTCTTTTAAAGGCTGACGAACTCCTTGTGGGTCCGGGTTCACTCCCGGGGGTAGGCAGAAAAGCCACATTTCTCCCAGATTAACGGTACCTAAAATGGAATCAATGCCGAAGGGTTGCGATATCCATAGTACCGAGCCAAAGGGTTTACAACTCATGGTTTCTGGATACGTTAAAAAAAAAAGGCTGAGTTGAACTGAATCAAGAACTTACATCACTGCATTTGGGAAATTTCCGTTAACCCTGTATCCTCATCTTAAGCAGTAGCGATGAGTTCCAGTTGTGTGTTTTATCCCCCCCCCCCCCCCCCAACCTTCCTAAAAAAAAAATTTACTGTCAAAATTGTGTTTATTTTCTTTGATAAGGGAGATGGTACTGAAGTTAAAACTCTCAGAAACTCTGTTCCACCAGTTCTGTTGATTCTTTTTTTTTCAAAAGATGGAAATTAACAATAAACAATACGCAATTGAAGTGGAGATAAGTATGTTTAAGAAAAAGTGTGTTACAATGTTTTATAGTCTGTATACTGTGATATAAGCGGCGTCCGTGGCTAAGGCGTTGCAAGTCCGACTCGTAAGCCAGCATACCGCGATCGAAACCCACTGCAGGCTGAGTGGATTTTTATCGTGGTATGGGACGTCGCAGGTCGACCCAGCCTAAAATGGGTACCAGGATGGGCTGTCCTGGGAAAGTAAAGACAGCCGGTGTAATGCTGACCACATTACCCACAGAGTGCTGATGGTCTGTAAAAATATGGGACGCTCTGCCCATATGCCCGATGCGCCGTAAGGCGTGAAAAGGGAACTTTACTTTACTTTACTTATACTGTGATATGCATGTAAAAATAATTGACGACTAGCATGACCCCTTTCATCTATTGATGTTTGACAGCTTGTCTGTCTGTCAGTTTATCTCTGGTATGAAGTTTTAAAGACAGTGCTACAAGATTTGTATGGCTGGCCGAATGGATAAGAACACAGGCAAGAGACCAGGGTTCGAATCCTGGGTAATGTTGGTGATTTTTTTTTTGTCAGGGCAAAAATAAAATCCTAAACTGCACAATCTGTGGAAACATCGCTAGCCATGCGATCTTATATCCCTGGCCTAAATATCCCCTCCCTCCATTGCAGAAGTGATAAAAACCAGCAGTATTTGCATTTTTTGGTTTTATTTTGGGTACAAGAGTCACACAGAAGGGATTGGGGCCTTAGCACATAATATTTTTTGAAGACGGCACTGCGCACACTGTAGTCAACCTTGTGGAGATAGCCCACAGTTCAATTTTAAATCATTTATTCTGGTGTAACTCTTTTTGCCTGTACAAATCTTTTTCAAAATGACCTTTTTTAAAATTTCCCTAACAAGAGAACACATGGTTAAATTCTCTGAAATGCTTCCCTAAGACACTAGAGGAAGAAAAGAAGTGGCAGAAGAAATTTGTAATCTCTGTCAGTTTTTATAAAAATCCAGGGGGGTCAAAACCTGTAATCTCTGAGCAGACAGGCCGCTAGACATCGTCGCGACCCTCAAGTCACTACAAAAATATTAGTTTAGTCATTGTTTTGCACAAACATGATTATTTTCTCCATTATTTAATATATGAATTAGAATAATCATTAAATACAAATCGAGCAAAGAAAAAACTGCTTTCTTTCGCTTTGACCAAGAAAAGGGGTTTTGACACAGTTACAGAAAGCAAAGTGGCATCATCAAAGTTCATTATAGTGTTACAGCGACAGACAAATAGATTTTTTTGCCACAGATAATATGTCAAAATTTGTTTTTGAAATATAATCATACACACTTCATCTACACATTATGCAGTTGCTACAAGTACCAAAGTTGTTATACAGGCAAATTGGTCACTTGCACTGTCCATAGATGTCATGTCATCCAAAATCCCTCAAAGTTGGAAAACTTTCTCGTGGCAACAGGTTAAACTCTTTGGGTACCGAGCAACACACATCATGCATTGATTTATAACTGATTTAAAGAGAAGAGAAGTAAAAAGAAGTATTTCAGTGTTTGTTTACCCAGATATGTCACCTGAAAGAAAACCGCAGTAGCATAGCATCGGACACTTACCTGTCGACCTAAAGTGTTGGGTCCGAATCTGCTTCTGGTCATATATTTGAATGGCCTTGGCTCCTACATTGACCCAGTCTAAAATGAGTACCATGTGAAGTCCTGGAAAGTAACGTTAGGCAGCACTGTGTTGACCACATCACCGACTGCATGCCGGTTTGTCTGAAAAAATGTGGGTCTAGCATCATTTGCCCAATGCGCCATTGACGTCAAAGGGTCTTTTGCTTACTTAACCTTATACTTAACCTTGAATGTGTAAAATCTACTCGTGATTCATTTTTAAAAATAACTGTTGAAAAATGTGTGAAACATTTTCAAAATAACTTGTTAATTTGCTCGTGGTTTCTTATTGTGTCTCTAACAGAATAACAGAACAGCAGAAGAACAGGTGGAGGAGTTGCTCGATGAACTACAGAAAAAGGATTGTTTCAGCTTATTTTGTGAGGCTCTCATTGCTGATGGCCAGCAGCACATTGTTAAGAAGTTCCTAAAACAAACTAAATCATCTATAGATAGCAGCAAGACTGAAACCCCCACAGCCACCACATCTTCATCTTCTGTTCAAACAAATGACAGTCCATCAGTTCCATCTGAAAGTACTGATTCCCTTGAAAGAACTAGTCAGTCCTGGGCACCCTCAATTGTTATACGTGAGTCTGATAACAAACATGTCTACATTCGGATTAGTAATGACGAAGCGTCTCCAAGTAAACGACTTCGAAGTGTGGAGACTGATAAATCTCTAGTAGTGTTTGAACCTGGCGAGACCAGGTATGCCATGAAGCACTATGTTAGTGATTCAGTTGACCTCAGTGGAAAAGATATTGTTCTTCATTCTGCAGCGAAAGTCTCCCACCCAACTGTCGTGTTGGATAATCCTCAGTCTCTCATAAACTGCCACATCTCTGACCCTGCTCGTTATGTGGCAGCTTTCACGCCACAGTCATCGTCAAGTTCATTCCACTCTGAAAAGCTGAGACAGGAAGGCGATGTATATCATTCCATGTTGTCCACTGCCTCTGTGGCTTTCACAGACTTACCATCCACAAAAAGTGACCCAAATAATTTGTCACGGCAGGAACTACAAAACCTACTCCGTCCAAACAGTAAAAACACACATCCGAATTTGGTGAACCATGCTGATGTTCAAAGCTACGGAAAGTTTGTTACGTAAGTCCAGAATGTTAGATCATGTATCATTGAAACAAATTCTCTGTTCTGTGTTCTGGGGTGGGGGGCAGTGGGGTGTCGACTAATTAGGGATATTTCTTTATGAAGTCACAGGTGAGGAACCAACAGTCTGCATACAAATAAGCCAGATCTGTAAAACGGATATGCGTGCAAAACTCAAGATCTGTAACAAGTTCAAAGTCCATGTGAGCGAACAACCAGAACTTTCTGCTGTAGTTTACAGGCGGTGAATGCTAAGAATAAGATTGAATCAAAACAACTGTGTTTCTTTTGAAGAAATGTTTGTTTGAAATCAGCTGACTGCAGTAAAGCTATGGAACTCTCAAAAAGGTCAGAAAATAAGAATGTTTCAGCTTTACCAAATCATTTACAGTTAACAGACAAAAAGTGTTTTGGTGATTAGCCTTCATCTGCAAAATGACGATAAGAAATAAAAAGTACATAAAAAAAACTAATACTAAAACAAAAACATTACGATATTCAAATTTTATTTTGTAGTTATTTTAGAGTCAGTTTATTCTGAAAAGTTGGCATTTACGTTATGTTTTTCCTATTATTTTGTTTGTTCGAAGCATGTTTTAACTTTTTTGTGTTATTATTCCTGAATAGGCCACATTTTCACACATAGGTTATTTATCTTTTGTTTTTTTCAGTCAGTTATTAGACCTACATTTCATAGACCAATGGCACGAGATGAGTGATGTGGTCAGCATCACACCTTCCGTCTGTACTTTTCAGGACTGCACCTGTACCCACTCAAGGCTGGGCCGACCTGCAAGCCAAGGTTATTTTTGAAAAAATCTGGCTCTGCCAGCGGGGGAACTCACAACCTTCTGATCCGCTGGCGAGCGCCTAGCCGCTACGCCAAGGCTACTCCCACTTATGATTAGTAGTATTTAATTATTAATGATCCTTTCAGTAAGCATTATTAAATTGGCAGTTGAGACATTGTGTTAATGTTCACAGCTAAGTTTCTGTACATTTCTGCCCAACACAGATGATTTCAACAAACCCTTAATTAGTTGCTTTTTATTACATGCTTGTTATGGGGGCAGTTGATCTATTTTTTCATTATCATCACATCAGTTTCCACTTCTGCAGTTAAGCTTCGTGGGGATAACAGTTTGCGATCCATTGCTTGATCTGTAGCAAATCCTGTTGTCATTCTGTGTCGATGTAGAAGGTCTTTAATGTCCTCAGTCCATGTCCTCCTTAACAACCTCTTGCTTTCACATCAGATATTTTCATGTGTAGCACCTGTGTTGGTAGTTGTGGCTACATTCTAATGAGATAAAACCATTTGATCTTCTATTGATCAGTTAATTTGGTGCAAGGTGTTATTTCCACACTTTCTTTGATATCATTTCTCACTTTGTCTTGGATGATTATGTTAGCAGCTTTCCTTGGGCATCTTATTTCTCCGTCTTCTTCTTTTCTCAAATCCTGGAATACCCTGCGGCATCAGGGCAGGAAGAGATCTCTGTAACAGGCCCTTCTGTTTGCTTCGTATAAAGTTCTTCTTCTGAGATCTCTTTATTTCTACGAGCACTAAAGCAAGCCACAGTCGGTTTGCTGGAGCAGTCAGAGTGTTTTCGAAATTCCTAGAAGATCACACTTGAACTAGACTATCACATTCAGACTAGCTTAACACAGCTTCCACTTTAGGATATCCGTAACTGACCCTGGTTAGATATAATTTTACAGGTGTCAATGTTAAGTAGGTTAGTTAGCCTTTGATAATGTTAGTCTATTCTTTATGTCCCCTAAAATGGAATCCCTGAATCTACACAGTAAGTGAAATTTTTTTTTTTTTTTTTACAGATTGTCTCAAAATACCACAGCCAGCAATCTCAAAGTCAGCCACTACAGCAGTCCACTCAAGTGTTCAAGTCAGTCGGAGGTGCTGACACCTTCCAAAGGGCCTGGGCCCATCATGTCTACTTCCCCACCTGTGCGTGACCCGGGATTCATGGAGCAGTTTGGTCTATCCCGATCTGATGCTGTGGGTTAGTATATCCTGTTGTCCTGTTCTGATGCTCTGGGAAGTATTAATTGTCCTCTTCTGATGCTGTGGGAAGTATGAAATGTCCTGTTCTGATGCTGTGGGAAGTATGGAATGTCCTGTTCTGATGCTGTGGGAAGTATTTAATGTCCTGTTCTGATTCTGTGGGAAGTATGGAATGTCCTGTTATGATGCTGTGGGAAGTATGAAATGTCTTTTTCTGATGCTTTAGGAAGTATGGAATGTCCTGTTCTGAGTCTGTGGGAAGTATGGAATGTCCTGTTCTGATGCTCTGGGAAGTATGGAATGTCCTATTCTGCTGCAGTGGAAAGTATGAAATGTCCTATTCTGATGTTGTGGGAAGTATGGAATGTATCGTTCTGATGCTGTGAGAAGTATGGAATGTTCTGTCTGATGCTGTGGGAAGTATTGAATGTCCTCTTCTGATGCTGTGGGAAGTATGAAATGTCCTCTTCTGATGCTGTGGGAAGTATGGAATGTCTTGTTCTGATGCTGTGGGAAGTATGGAATGTATCGTTCTGATGCTGTGAGAAGTATGGAATGTCCTGTTCTGATGCTGTCTTCCTTATATGTTTCTTCATTTATCTCGCAGAATATATTAACCATAAATTGGCTAATAAATATATATATATGCCCGGCTCTCTAGCGAAGTTGGTTAAACCTGACTTTCGCGGCGGCCGGGTGACGAACTCCTTGTGGTCCGGGTTCACTCCCGGGGGTAGGCAGAAAAGCCACATTTCTCCCAGATTAACGGTACCTATAATGGAATCAATGCCGAAGGGTTGCGATATCCATAGTACCGAGCCAAAGGGTTTACAACTCATGGTTTCTGGATACGTAAAATAAAAAAAAAAATATATCTTTTCTTTTAAAGATACAATGGCAGTGAAAGATTCCACCAGTATGAGACGGCAAGATTTTGGCATTAATAAGATGACATATTTTGATGAAGGTAAGGAGTCAGCAGTTAATGAGTATAATCATGCATTCATAATCCTGTTGTATCACTATATGTTACCCAGTGCTTGCAGTCAGTTTCTCCATTGTGTTCTGTTTTTGTGCAGTTTTTCAATATTGTTTGTGGAGTCTGTTCAGCCACCTTTGGTTGCCCTCGTTAAAATTTATCATAGGTTTTTTTTTGGACATCCTCACTTTCTCAATTCAATTCAGTGCCTCCTTTGTGATTCTTTGATCATCACTTTCTCAGTTCAATTCAGTGCCTCCTTTGTGATTCTTTGATCATCACTTTCTCAGTTCAATTCAGTGCCTCCTTTGTGATTCTTTGATTGCTTTATCTTAGAATATGCGCAAGATGTGTCATCTTCTTTTTTCAAGTAACTGTTGGTACCATTGGTTGTCCAGACAGTTGTCTTATTGATTTCATTTTGATATTTAAATAATATTATTGTCCGTCAGTCATCGTTTCCTGCCTAGATTTATTAACTATTATAATCTGTCTGTTTACAAACTATGATAATTAATAATGGAAAGGCGCGACCAAAAGTGAACACCATAGTAAAAAGGGATATTTTAGAACAAGTAACAAGTTTCTCCTATCTTGTAATAACAGATGGTGGCAGCAGTGAAGCAGAAATCAAAAAAAGAATAGGAATAGCTAAAACTGTTTTCAATAAGATGCAAAAATTATTGACAGCTAGAGCGATAAAATTAGTTGCTTATATTATTTACAGGACATTTCAGAACCAACTCTCGCATGTTTTGGCTGTTGTGGTTTTTTTAAAGGCAGATTTTACGTTCAGTAGTTTGCCATTGCTCAGCTCTTTATTACCACTGTCAGTACCAATGCAAGATGTTCTGCTGCCAAATCGCCAGCAGCTAGGATTGAACCCTGCATTACGAAGCGTGTTCACAACACATAAGCCACAGACGCTGACAGAGAGATGAAAACACATTAAAAATGAGAATCATCAAATGTTGGGTAGACTCAACCCTGCTGTAGGGTGCAGAAACCTGCACAGTAAACAAGCAGCTATAAATTCAAACTGAGTCTCTGGAGATGTGGAGGTACAGAAGAATAGGTGGTATTTCATGGGAACAGTGGTATTTCATGGGAACCAAAACAGTCCGATACACAATAAACCATATTGTTCTTTCCTTTAGTTGGACCAAAAAAATTTGCTAATGTATTATACAAAATTCTAAATTTAAGGCTTTGTTGTCCTCCACATCTGTGTGCCAGTCCTGACCTACGGGTGTGAGCCGTGGGCAGTGATAACAGCTCACAGAGGCCAGCTTCAGGCCTCAGAGATGAGGTATCTGAGAAAGGTGGTCCAAGTGACAGTAAGGGATAAAGTTCTCAGCCAGACAGTTCCTCATTATGTTGAAACTCTGACCTTACAAATGTAAGTGGATCAGTCGCAGTTACGGTGGTTTGGAAATGCAGAATGGGAGAGAATCGGCCTCACGGTAAGCTTAGTGAGGCCAAGAACCAGACCTCCAGGATGACCCAGGGTTTGCTGAGAGGACATCCAGCAGTTCTTGATTGATAGAGGGACAAACACTATCATACTTCAACTGGCTATAAGCCTCTGTGGGCAGGATTTGGTCCACAGACTGCCAGTTGAATAGCCCCAAGAAGAAGAAGAAGAAGAAGAAGAAAGAAGAAGAAAGCCAGAAAGAAAAATGCTGATAGAGAAGTCTGATGATTTCTTGTGCAAACCTCTACACCCCAGGGCAGAAGAGGATCGACAAACTAAGTAAGTGATCCTCCACTACCCCGGGGCCTCCTGATAGCAGCATGACTTAAATATCCTTACACTGGAACACACTGGGTCAAAGGGATAATAAATACAGAAACACACTGAGAAAATAATTAGACAGCGAAGTTTAAAAAAAAAAGAGGGGTGGGAAAGACACAGAGTGAGCTGTGTGTGATGTCACTGGATAGAATAATTTGGTGCAAATGGGTTGAGGGCTTATGCTCCATTGGGGGATAAAGGGCAGAAGGGCAACCATGCTTAAGCTGGGCCGGGGGTGCCAACACAAAGAAAACATTGGTGGTGGGAAAGGGGGTGGGGGGTAGACTTACGTGCGTATTCTCTACTAATGTTCTTTTGGGGCGCTCGCTCAAGGAGCCGGATCCTAGTTTAAGGGCATAATAATAATAAATACTGTGCTGGAAATATAATACTATATTTGAAATAATATGGTATATGTGAAGGTATATTTCTAAAGAGTTATTCTATACATGGTTAAAGGGAGCTGCTTAGCCCCCTAACATTTTTAGGGCTTTCTAAACTTGGGGGGGGGGGGGGGGGATTCAAGGGGCCAGGGCCCTCATGTTCCACCATCTATGAACTGGGTCAGCTTGGGAGACTAGGTTACATTTACAAGTCTGCTTCACTGGGGGGTCAAGCTTATGACCAGCAGACTTGCAGTTCTATTTATAACTTGTTTAATTTGGAATTGCATTTCTTTGGTCAAGTTTCACAAACTTCTCTGTTGTATATTTCCCTGTTCGCACCAACAACCACAGACTTGAGGTCAAAGTTCAACCCCTTACTGTCCTACACGGAAGTTAGCTGCCCAGCTTTCACATCTGATGAAATAGACAACATTGACCTTCCTGATGGCTGTGTGAATGTCAAGGTTGACCATTGCTCGGAAGAATTCTTTCACAGTAATTATAAAAAGGTCAGTGGTATTTGTGTGTGTGTGTGTGACATTTTTCATGTCAGCGAGTTGGAATCTATGGCTTAGGCCTTGCGAATGCGCCTCATAGTGCTGGGGTGCTGGGTTCGATCCCAGCTGCAGACAGTTTGTCTTGCATTGGTTTCGACAGTGGTACCAAGAGCTGACCGTTCAGAAAGCAATGGCAAACTACTGAACTTAAAAATGTGCCTAGAAAAACCGCAACAGCCAACAGATGCTGGGGTTGGTTCTGAATCCTCCTGTTAAGGATAGGCAACTAACTTCATGTCAGATATTATTATGCAGCGTCCGTGGCTTAGGCGTTTTCGACTCATAATTCCGCGATCGAAACCCACTGCTGGCTGCGTTGATTTTTATCATGGTATGGGGCGTCACAGGTCAACCCAGCCTAAAATGGGTACCAGGATGGATGTCCTGGGGAAGTAAAGATGGCTGGCGTAATGCTGACCACATTACCCACCTAGTGCCAATTGGTCTGTAAAAATATGGGTGCTCTTCTCATATGCCAGATACTCCTAAAGGTGTGAAAAGGGATCTTTACTATTTATTATTGGCCTAAAAGGCAACTGTAGTCCCTAGGGATCATGGAGCTGTGTCACTTGTTTTTAGAACAGCATCAGCTATTACTGTATTTTACTGAAGCTTTTTCTCTCTCAGTTGTCTCCACTCTATAGCTTGCAGCGTTTGGCCTGTTGCAGACTGTGACAATCTGTCTTTCACTGTTTGCCTCCGTAAGAGTCAGTCTGCAGCTGATCTCTCACAGATGTCTGTGTCAGTGTTGGTATATTTGATATAACATTATTGGCTTGCAATTGTTAAAAGACATGGTTAGGCTCCAGCTATTCAGAAATGGGAAAGGATATAAAGTCTCTAAACAAAATTAGATGACACTGAAGTTGAGTTAATATCAGGTGTTTGCCCCTGTAGAATCCGTCCAGGGCAGCCACAGGTAGACTGATCGGCCCTTAATTTTTTTTTCATTTTTACATATATTATTTCAAATATATCCTTAAATTTATTCGCCATCCCATCACAGTATTATTAATATGCTCTTAAACAAGGATTAAACCACTTGAGCGACCGCCCCAACAATTTTATTTAGTCAGCAGCCAAAGCCAGAAGTAAGATGGCTGTCCTAAGAAAACTAAGTGGTACAACATGTGGTGCAAATGGGAAAATACTAAGGAAAGTTTATCAACAAAGTATACGACCACACACTGAACATGGGTCAACTACATGGAGTTCAGCATCCATAACCACACTACAAAAGTAAGACAAGGTGCAAAATCAAGCGATCAGAGTTATAACATGTTGAATGAAATCAACACCTATAGGTGTGATGGAGAAGATGGTGATGACTTAAACACTGACAGAACGAAGAGAAACACTGACAGAACGAAGAGACACTAAGATACTAATATAAGCAGAAAGGTTTCTTAGCATACCTGAACACCCTATGAAAGAAAGATTCCAAAATCTAGCAATGTGGTGACTAAAAAGAAGCATTTTTATCCACCAGGCACAACGACTCTGCAGGCAAACCAATGATCTGCCTGCAAATGATAGCACCTTAAATGCAATTCCAGATCAGATCCCTTGGAAAGAGGATTATAAGTTGCCAGTACACATCCAGACAGAAGTGAAAGGATTATTCAACAAGAAAGAACAAAACAGTGTGCAACGTAAAACCGCCACCCTCGCTCTACTTGATGATGAATACCCACATAATCTTTGGGTTCATGTCTATACGGATGGGTCAGCACAAACCGCAAGCAGAAAGGAAGGAGCAGGAGTGTATATTGAGCATCCAAATAATATCGTACAGCCAAAATACCTACAGGAAAACATGTCACAACTATGATGCAGAAGTTCAAGCTGTCAAAATAGCAGCAGAGGAACTGTTAAATATACATAATTTTTCACAACCTGTGGTGTTTCTGACAGATGCAAAGAATGCTTCAGGCACTCCAATCTGGAAAACTACCTGGCATACGAACACTACTCTCCAAACTAGACAGCTGGTGTAAGGTAACTATGCAGTGGATGCCATCCCACTGTGGAGTTCCTGGAAATAAAAGAGCTGATAAACTAGCTAAGGAAGCTGCAAATAAAGAACAACCGGACATACCAGTCTCTTATCAACAAAAGAAGAGAAAAATCAAATCTATCAGAAAGCCACCAAAACAGGCACAAGACGATTACCATTTTATGGACAGACCAGAGCGGGTTATTATTCTACGCTTTAGAACAGGGCACAGTCGACTTTGAGGCCACATGTACACAAAATTTAAAATCTGCGAATCAGCCTTATGCACATGGGGATTGGCACCTGAGACAACAGATCATGTCCTCCAAGACTGTCCCAAATACAGTATATCAAGGCAAGTCAAACTTTACTGGTTGCTGAGTGAATTACAAAAGACAGTAAAGTTCATACTAGAGACAACATTGCAGGTATAGATAATCTATTTCAAGCAAATGAAAGAAGAATAATTTTATGTTCATATTACTTTAATCTATCTCTACCAGTACCATTTATGGATCTTAAACAGTTGTATTTCTACTACTCTTTTATTCCTACTATTTTTATATATTATCACTATTACTTTTGCGACTAATTTTCAAGCCTTACTTTATTTTATTTTATTCATTCCACATTACCTTTTTTTTTAAATAGTTTCTCATTCTCCACCTTGTTATAGTTTCTCATTCTTCACCTTGTTATTGTTGTAGAGTTCAGTTCTTGTCGAGAAAGGCCCCGGCCGAAACATCCGTTTGTGTTGTGTTTTGTGCACGTTGTTCTGTTTCCCCATTACTTTAAACTTTTTTAGTCACAGTTCACTGGATTAATTTCTCAGGGGAAGGCAGATCATGGGCATTCTCCGCCATCCAGAGTGGCTTCCATGAATGCAGAGCCAACTTATGACGCTCTGTTCTGGGTACTAGAATTTGGTTTCCGTAGCAGATGGATTATTTTTAAAAGCTTTTCTTGTGGTTTTTGGGCAATGGTACTAGAGTCACATCACGGAAGATGATTGTTTTATAGCCTAACTAAAGATGGCTGTCTTGTTTTTTTCCAGTCCTACCCTATGCAGAGGTTGCCGAGAGGTTATGCCTTGATTATCAACGTAAATGAAGTTGTCGGGAAGCCAGCTAGGACAGGCACTAACTTTGATCGAGATAATTTATGCAACCTTCTGTCGCAGCTACACTTCAATATCATTGTCTATAATGATAAAGATGGACTCTCAGCTCAAGTGAGTGGAGTTTTTTGTTTGTTTCTAGGTCGTCCGTGCTGTTTTTACTTTATATCACTGCCACTCTTAGCATCAGTGAAAATGAATGTAAAAGTTGTTTGTCAACCCAGAAGATTATCTTGTTGATTGTAAACTGTTGTAGGTCTACCAAGCCATCATCATCATCAATCAGCATGTCCTTTACTTAAGAGTCTTTCTTTAGCCAGTTCTCCAACCCTGTGTGCTTTCATAGCCAATACATCTTCAGTGTCATGTATTCACGGAAGTGGGCCTCTGCCTCGCTTTCTGGAAACTGCAGCCTTCATCATCATTTTCTGCTGACCACCATGGGCTCAACATGTCCAGATTACTTCATTTTCTAGGGATATATAATGTGGTAGTTAGTCTTCCCCTGCTTCCCGCATCCACATTGCTGAGCATCTCAACCTTAGCAATATTTTAGAATCCAATGTAAGTGGGTTCCCTGCTCTGTGATGTTGTTGCTGTCAAGCCACTTAAAGTGTATGCCGGAATAAACAAACATATTGTAGTAATAATATTCCATCATCCCAAGCTGTTGCATTCCCATTATATAAGACAAGAAGTATTGTCAATGAACAGTTAGATTTTCTTATTCTACTTCTAAGAAAATACCATAATATAAGAAATAATTTCTTTATCTTTTTCTATTCCTACAATTACCTGATCAAAGTTAGGGGAGGGGGGGGGGGGGGTGTAAGGGTCTTTTGTGTGCTCTTTCAAATGCTTTGTATAAGTTGTTTTTTATTTCTCAAATTCTTTTCTTGATGCCATTGTTCATATTTTGCATGGTCTTCCCCTTGCCCTATGTTCATTATCTTTCTTCGGCATAGCTCTCTGTGGCAGTTGTTACCATGGTATTTTTGTCAAATGGCCAAACCATTTTATCTCTTGCTCTTTAATTAACTGTGTGACTAGTTTCATTACTAGTCTTTTTATCATTTCTTGATTTATATTTTTGTCTCTTCTTGTTACTCTGGAGTCTGTTCTGTCACATCTCATCCATGTTGTTAAGAGATTAGATGTCTCAAAACAGCTGCTGGATTAACAAGAAAATATGAATTGGAATGAATGTCAGGTCAAATTCCATTTTGTGTGAAAGGGATGGCTGTCCAAGATAGAAAACAGCTCTAAACCACTTATGTTTCTTTTATAAAGATGTTACAGAAGTTGCAGCTCTCATGAGCTTGATATCTTTTCTTTAATAAAGAAGATAATACAAAATTTGCAGCTTTTATTATGTTGGTGGTTTCTTTCATAAATGAGATGTTACAGATGTTGCAACTGTATGTTTTCTTTAAAAAAAAAAAGAATGTACAGAAGTTGCAACTGTCAACAAATTTGTATGTTTTATTTTATAAAGGAGATAGTACTGAATTTGCGACTCTGAAAAACTTTTTTTTTTGCTTTTAAAGGAGATGGTAATGAAGTTGAAGTCATTTGCTAAACTGGAGCACCATCACCAAGCAGATGCCTGTTTTATATGTCTGTTGAGCCATGGGGAGGAGGAGTACATCTTCGGCACTGATGGGAAAAGGATCCCACTCAATGAGATCTTCATGCTGTTTGACAACACTAACTGCAAGGGGCTCCTTGGCAAACCCAAAGTATTCATAATCCAGGCATGCCGAGGAGGTAAGTCTTGATGTCACAGTTTGGTGGGTCTGGGTTTCTGTCTGTTGTCTGTCTTTATGTGTCTGTCTGAATCTTGAGCTTTACATCTGGTGTTTTCATTATCTAGGCTTGCCGAGGAGTTAAGTCTTGCCATCACTGTTTGGTGGGTCTAGGTGTCTGTCTGTTGTCTGTCTTCCTGTGTCTGTCTGAATGTTGAGATTTACATCAGGTGTGTTCATTATTTAGGCTTGCCGTGGGTGTAAAGTCTTAGCATCACAGTTTGGTGGGTCTAGATTTCTGTCTGTTATCTGTCTTTCTGTATCTGTCTGTGTGTTAAGAAATTATGTTTTGTATGCCTTCATTATCCAGTCCTTCAGAGGGAGTGAATCTTGGTGTCACAGTTTGGTGGATTTTATGTTTCTGTCTGTATGTCTGATTTTCTGTCTGTATGCTGAGCTTTACATATTGTGTGTTTATCATCGAACTAACTCGATTGTGTGACATAGGAGTAAAGCATGATGAAGCACGTCTGAGCCACCTTTGAAGCCGAAATAAGAGACATTATAACCAACTTCTCATGGGAACAGTTAGAAGTACCTTGGAGTGGCTGCTGCATCAGAGGACTGAGCACGCATGGGAATGCCCAATGTGCATTGACATTGATTGTGATAACATAACATCATTATCGAACAGTTGAACGAACAAACTTCATTCCCAAGGGGTTTACAAATTGGGTATGCTGAATTTGGCACCTCCATCTTTTACACAGCAGTTGTATTTTATAAACAAAGCGTGTTATATTCATACATCTCAAAGTTTATAGTATGAATATGAGGTAAAAATAAAAAAGCATGAATGGCAAACGCACACTTTCTAGACATGGCTGGGAAATGAGTCTTGGTCTCACAGTTTGGTGGGTCCATATTTCTGTCTGTCTATCTGTCTGCAGGCCTGTTTGTTGATCTTTTTATCTGAATGTGTTAAGTTTTTATTAAATTCTCACCCCACTGTTTCTTTCTCTGTGTAAAGCATACGCGCACTTGCTTGCACACACACACACACACACACACACACACACACACACACACACCTGTTTGCTGTTAAAGAATTATTATTTTCTCTGCTTTTTTAAGGGTTATTGCCCTTGCATTAGTGGAGGCCAGCAATTCTAATTCATTGTACTTGATTAGTTTCCCTCCATCTCTTTCTGTCCGTCTCTCTCTCTCTCTCTCTCTATCTCTTATCTCTCTCTCCTTTTCTTGTATTGTATTGTTCCCTCCCCCTTTTTATCTCACTCTCCCTCTTTTATATCCGCTCTCTTTTATTTCTCTCCCCCGCTCCACTCTCTTCTCTCTCTTTTCTCTCTCTCTCTCCAATAAATAATTGTAATGATCAAGGTTTGATTAACCATCAAGAAAGAGCTCACACTTATGGCATCCATTAAAATCATGTAATGCATGATGGAACTAGGTAAAAGTAATACATCACAGAACTAGGTAAAAATAGTGTGTCACAGCACTTGGTAAAAGTAGTGCATCACAGCACTAGGTGAAAGTAGTGCATCACAGCACTAGGTGAAAGTAGTGCATCACAGCACTAGGTAAAAGTAGTGCATCACAGCACTATGTGAAAGTAGTGCATCACAGCACTAGGTAAAAGTAATGCATCACAGCACTAGGTAAAAGTAGTGCATCACAGCACTAGGTAAAAGTAGTGCATCACAGCACTAGGTGAAAGTAGTTTATCACAGCACTAGGTAAAAGTAGTGCATCACAGCACTAGGTAAAAGTAATGCATCACAGCACTAGGTAAAAGTAATGCATCACAGCACTAGGTAAAAGTAGTGCATCACAGCACTAGGTGAAAGTAGTGCATCACAGCACTAGGTAAAAGTAGTGCATCACAGCACTAGGTAAAAGTAGTGTATCACAGCACTAGGTGAAAGTAGTGCATCTCAGCACTAGGTAAAAGTAGTGCATCACAGCACTAGGTAAAAGTAGTGCATCACATCACTAGGTAAAAGTAGTGCATCACAGCACTAGGTAAAAGTAGTGCATCACAGCACTAGGTAAAAGTAGTGCATCACAGCACTAGGTGAAAGTAGTGCACTCAAAAAAGTTCACACACAATTTAAGACACAGACAGCATGCTACAATGTTAACCTTTTAAGAGAAAAAGACATTGCAACTAAATTTATAGTAGAACTTAAAAATAGATTTTAAACCCTATCAAGTGACCCAGACACTCAAAATGCAATCAGCATTCAAGACAGTTGGAACCAGATCAAAGAAACATACAAATCAACTAGCAACAACATATTAGGAACCAGGAAACAACATCACAAAGAATGGATAAGCAGTAAAACCATGGACTATATTGCCAAGCGAAAAAGAATAAAGAGCCTTATAAATCACACTAAATCAGAACGTCAGAAAGACAAACTAATGTTAGAATATAGCGAACTAAATAAAATGACAAAGAAAAGTGCCAGAGCTGACAAAAGAAGATTTATGGAAAATCTAGCAGAAACAGCAGAAAATGCTGCTAAAGCACATGATCTGCAAACCCTACACAAAATTACCCAGCAAATTTGCAAAAACAGAAACAATTATTACTGCATACCCGTCAGAGATAACCAGGGCAGACTGCTCACCACAGAACAAAAACAAGACATGCAGTGGACTAAACACTTCTCCGACCTCTTGAACAGACCTGATCCTGAAAATCCCCCAGATATTCAACCAGCCTCTCAGGACATTGACATTATTACTGAACCACCAAGCAAACAAGAAATTCTTTAAGCTATCCACACTTTAAAGAACAACAAAGCACCAGGCAAAGACGAACTACCAGCAGAACTTCTCAAAGTAGATCCCAACACAACTGCTAGCATTCTAGAACCATTGTTCAAGGATATTTGGGAAAAAGAAGTGTTGCCTGATGACTGGAAAGAAGTGTTGCCTGATGACTGGACTGAGGGAACAATAGTCCAAATTCCCAAAAAAAAGAGACTTAACAGACTGCAATAATTGGAGGGGAATTACTCTACTCTCAGTACCAAGCAAAATATTTTCCTACGAGTAGAACAAGCTGGATTCAGAAAGGGCAGAGGAACAGCTGAGCACATCTTCGCCATATGTAACTTTTTTGGACCATGCAATGAATGGCAGAGAAGTTTATATATAAATTTTGTGGACTTTGAGAAAGCTTTTGACAGCGTCCATAGAGACAGTCTATGAAAAATTTTACGACATTATGGAATTCCAGAAAAAAATAGTCAACATAATTGCTCTTTTCTATAAAGACTTTTCCTGCAGTATAAAAAATTACAATACATCTTTCCCAGTAAAGACAGGTGTAAGACGGGGATGTGTTATGTCATCTCTCCTCTTCAATCTTGTGATTGATTGGATACTAAAGAACACAATAGACAGGACATTGAGAGGCATACAATGGACTCCATTCACCATGTTTGAGGACCCTTGATTTTGCAGATGATATAGCAATCCTATCACATAAACATGAACATATACAAGAAAAAAGTAACAGACTACACAGCAAAGCAGAAATGGTGAGACTGAGAATAAATACAAAGAAAACTAAGATCATGACAAGCAGTCCAAACCAACAACCAGTGGCCATAAATAACCAAACTCTTGAAAACGTAGAATATTTCACATATCTTGGCAGTGTGGTGTCCCTGCCAGGAGGGACCGAAGAGGACATACAGTCACGTCTGAACAAAGCTAGAGCTGCTTTTGGAAGGATGAGGCAAATCTGGAAATCCAACATTTACTACAGAGGAACGAAACTCCGACTCTACAAGAGCATCATTTTGCCAGTTCTTCTTTATGGAGCGGAATGCTGGAGAATGACAAAAAAGGATGCACACAAACTGTCCACCTTCCACCACACATGTCTACGTAGAATTATTAAAACTTTCTGGCCAGATACAATCTCAAACACTAAACTACTTCACGTCACAAACCAAGAAACTTTAGACAGTATGATAACTAAGAGAAGATGGAAATGGCTTAGCCACATTATGAGAATGAATCCTAATATACCTGCCAAAGCAGCTCTCACATGGACACCAGAGGGAAAGAGAAAACAGGGGCGCCCAAAAACAACATGGAGACGAACGATGGAAAGTGACCTGAGTGCAGCATCTTTGACATGGAAAACTGCACTGAAGATTGCACAGGACAGGAAAGTATGGAAAGTCCTCTCTAAAGCCTCATGTGCCACTAGGCACAATGAGAACTGATGATGATGATCACAGCACTAGGTGAAAGTAGTGCATCACAGCACTAGGTGAAAGTAGTTCATCACAGCACTAGGTAAAAGTAGTGCATCACAGCACTAGGTAAAAGTAGTGCATCACAGCACTAGGTGAAAGTAGTTTATCACAGCACTAGGTGAAAGTAGTTTATCACAGCACTAGGTGAAAGTAGTGCATCACAGCACTAGGTGAAAGTAGTGCATCACAGCACTAGGTAAAAGTAGTGCATCACAGCACTAGGTAAAAGTAGTGCATCACAGCACTAGGTAAAAGTAGTGTATCACAGCACTAGGTAAAAGTAGTGCATCACAGCACTAGGTAAAAGTAGTGCATCACAGCACTTGGTAAAAGTAGTGTGTCACAGCACTAGGTAAAAGTAGTGCATCACAGCACTTGGTAAAAGTAGTGCATCACAGCACTAGGTAAAAGTAGTGCATCACAGCACTAGGTAAAGGTAAATAATGACAGCCCTAATAATACATTATAGCACTAGGTGAAAGTAATGAATGATGGCACTATGTGAAGGTTATACATCACAGCACTGAGTGGAGGTAGTACATCACAGCACTGGGTGGAGGTAATACATCACAGCACTGGGTGGAGATAACACATCACAGCACTGGGTGGAGGTAATATGTCACTGCACTGTGTGGAGGTAATATGTCACAGCACTGTGTGGAGGTAATATATCAGAGCACTGGGTGGAGATAATACACCACAGCACTGGGTGGAGGTAATA